ATGGAAACCAATTTGACAATAAATTTCATATTTAAAAAAAAATCGACTGGACGACAAAAGAGCCAGAGTGGCCTGACCTAGGCAAAGCTCCTACCTAAACTATGACTCTTGCACCCCAGAGAGATGCCTCCCCACCCCTGTACACAAATGAGGAAAGAAGGTGAGCCTCGACAGAAGGGGGCACAGTAAGCAAAGAAGGGTGGTGGGTCATGCCAAATGGGCACATCTTTGTCCTGTCGTCTGTGGGAAAACACCTAGTGAAGGAATATCACCAACTCACGCACCTAGGGAAAACTGCACTGGAGGCCCTTCTCAAAAAGAACTACTATATCAGCCAGCTACTGGAATTATGCCGAGCTCTCAGTGAACAATGTGTAACGTGTGCCAAAAACAATTCTCCGTCTGCCCCACGCCCCACCCCCAGCACACAAAGGATGGGGGCCGCCCATTTTGAAGACATAGAGGTGGACTTTACTCACATACAGCCAAATAAAGGATACAGCCCTTAAAGTTTCAGGTATCACCCCATGGGTCCATCACTCCAGAGTTAAGAAGGCCAACTCAGAAGAACCCACAACCTGGCAAAGTGATCCAGATCCAGTCAACCTGCTTAAACTGACCCTCAAAAAGACACTGGCCCCTGAGACCTTCAGTCCTACTCCTGCCACACCCCAGAAACTGGCTGGCCTGTGCGGCAGAAGCTTGAAGAATCAATGTGTGAACCTAGCCCAGGGGTTTGGATGCCACTCTGCCAGCCCTTGCCCCTTACTGGTGTCATAGCCCTGAGTTTACTTCTTACTGTTGGGCTGATAGAGACTGCACCAACAAGCTGGACATGGGACAAAAGATACTTGCCGGGTCTCACATACCTCCTCTGGATGGGAGGATTATTAAGTATTGCCTGTATACTATGATAACCTCTCTCACCCTCACAACTGCTGCTTACCCACTTTGCCCCCAGGATTGTTATATGCCAATAAGGGGGTCAAGGGCATTCAACACCTTCACCTCCCTCCACAAAGATTGCTACAAGGGAAAAACACCCACTCTCTGTCAGTCACCCGGTGCCCCAAGGGCTAAGTATTGGACCATAGAGATAATCCAAAATGTCAGGAACCCATGTCACAACAAGGGCCTCCAGAGAGGGAAGCGAGTTTGCTACAGTTACCTTCCTCAATGGGGGATCTCAGACGGAGGAGGGGTGCAAGACAGGGCCCTTCAAAAAGTTATAAAGGATACCCAGGATAGGTATACGAGCCATAAATGTGACCACTCCCCTGGCAGCCTACCAGGGTTTGAACCTTTCAGCCTTAAATCAGATGCTTACCAATTCCCCACTCCAGTGTTGGGCCAACACTACTCTACAAGTCTTCCATAAAACATATAATCACACCCAAACCTGCTGGATGTGTTTGTCCCTCAGCCTGAGGGCTTACTTAGCCACTCCCATCCCTTTGATCTGGGAAGCTCCTGAAAATCTCAAAACCAAAATTTCTGTCTTAATTGGACCCCTTGCCACTGGGGTCCGTGTCATAAATGCCAACAATCTAATCTGTACAGTCCCTGAGGGTATGAATGGTACCTCTCTATAACGAAGAAATATAACCTT